CGAGAGCTGTGTATATATATATATATATATATATATATATATATATACACACACTGTATATTAGTGCTGTCAAAATTAGCGCAGAAATATAGTATATACTGTATATATAGTATATATAGTACTGTATATATATATATATATATATATATTTATATATTAGGGGTGTAACGATACACGTATTCGTATTGAACCGTTCGGTACGAGGCTTTCGGTTCGGTACGCTTTACAAACCGAACGATTTGTTGGACTAATCCTATTACATTTGGAAAATAAAAGAGCTTAAAGTGTGTGAAATATAATTTTCTCAGTGCCACTGCGCTCAACAAGATAGCCCAAACAACGTAACAGACAACGTGATGCACCAGTTGCGTAGCAGACGGGCACGCAGGGCACACGCTGCGAAAGGCCCTGCAATAACCTCCTCTTGCTGGGGTGTATTGAAAGACGATGATCTTGTATCAACGATAGCCAGAGATATTGTCAAAAACATCAATTATTGGCAATATTAAGAGGATTTGTAATTTCCAATTAATGTAGGCCTGTTACATTCTTATTTTATTAGGCCTACTATTATTATGAAGTTACATTTATTATTAAATTAAGATTATGCAATTAATTTGCCCTGCAATAATTACCACATAACTGACGCACTGCGAGGATAACAAAAGATTAGGCTATTTACTCCTCGATTAAAATATTAAAATATTAACACTCCAGTCATCAATAAAAATCAATGAAATAAAAAGCTTTTATTTCAAGCACCGACTTTCAAAAACAACCTGTTTAACACAAAATATGTTTCTTCTCATTTTTTTCCCATTATGTACGGGCCACAAGAGAAAGGGAATAAAATAAAAGTTAGCTATATACCATTATCAGCATAATTATGTTGAAGTAGGTTCGTCTCTCGTCGTCTCTGAGAGAATATGCGGCATCAGATTCCGAAAGCTCTGTCATTACATTAAAATATATAGTGTTTATAAAAAAATAACATAGGTAATAAATAAACAATATATAAAAATATAATACATATATACATTTATTAAATAAACTATGTATAGTTATATATCCATAAATGTATGTAAAAATATATTTCTAAAAAAATAACAGGTAATAAATTAATAAAAATACACTAATAAATACACTAAAAATTATTGTGATTTTAACAGTAAAAGACTAAAAATGCTACAGTAAAAACCTGTTAATTGGTTAGCAGTAAGATTAACAGTAAGTTTCCATACTATATACGGTGAATAACTGTAATTACATTTAATGTAATTTTACAGTAAAATACTGTTAAAATGACAGTTTTTGGAAGTGAAAAAGAAAAAGGCATTGTATAATTTACACTGAAAAACCGTAAATTGACGCTCCCGGAATTCCCTGCATGACACTTCATATTTAGTTTTTTCGTTGAAATAACAGTTTCTTCTTATTTTTTTCTTATCAGTTGTGTACATTAGGGTTTTATCTTACATCTAATGTTCACCAAGAGCTTGTAACACTCCAAAGAGAAAGGAAAAATTGAAATCGCATCATATGACCCCTTTAAGATGTTCACCGGCATAAATCTTGCGCAAAGTTTGCACATTGCTTGAGTGATATCCATTGGCTTGCCTTCATGGTTTAAATAAGAAATATTTGCAAC